TGCGTATAAACATGAAAAAAGATAGACCATTGTAGTGGAAGAGTAAAAGAAATTGAAGTTAAAGTGTAAAAGACCAGGTATTATAAAGTTTCTAAGCTGCAAAGCCTGAGTTAAAATGTAAAGGACCAGGTATTGTTAAGTTCCTATGCTACACTCAAAACCTGAAATTCCTGTAGCTGTTAGGACAATTCCTGGGACTGCCCAGTAGATATTCCCCCTGACCATTTAGTTATTTAATAACCTGGACAATAACCTGGACCCTGTGCAGCTTGGCACGTAGGCATCTCAGGGCCCAAAACAATCAGTTTGAATGTATCCCCCTCCTAGGACTGCCCTATCACCCCCGCCCGACCTGTTCCTGCCAATGAATGTACTATTCATGTTTGAGAATTGTTGTTTGATTTTCCCGCACCTCATGATGATTTGCTCTGATGTATGCAAAGCCCCCGCCCTCCCCAAAAAGTGTACTTAAGCACTGCTTAACCCCTGCTCTGGGCTCTGGGCTGCTCTTCCTTCTTGAGTGAGCACGGAGCCCCAGCATGCTGGATCCTCAATAAACCCCCCTTTTGCTGTTGCATGAGTCAGTCTCTTGGTGGTCTCTTCCTCCGACGTTCGCCAGACCCTTACAGTAGTGCTCAGAAAACCGGAGGGCTGGGGCTGTAGCTCAGTGGTAGAACACTTGCCTATCAGGTGCAATGTCCTAGGTCTGATTCCCAGGACCACAAAAATTAAAAAAAGAAAACTAGAGAGGCTGTATGAACATCAAACAAAATAGATTTCAGAGGGGCTGGGGATGTGGCTCAAGTGGTAGCGCGCTCGCCTGACGTGCGTGTGGCCCGGGTTCGATCCTCAGCACCACATAAAAAAAAAAACAAAGATGTTGTGTCCGCCGAAAACTAAAAAATAAATAAAAAAAAAAAAATAGATTTCAGAGCAAAATTTGCTATCAGTGAAAAGTGGATCATTTCATAAAGCTCAGAGGGCCAATTCAATAAGAGACCATAGCAACCCTGCATGTTTATATTCCAAACAACAGTTTTAAAATACATGAAGCAAGCCAGGTGGGGTGGGGCATGCCTGTAATCCCAGCTACTTGGGAGGCTGAAGCAAGAGGATCACAAGTTGGAGGCTAACCTCTGCTATTTAGACTCTGTCTCAAAAAGGACTGGAGATGTAGTTCAATGGTAGAGCACCCCTGGGTTCAATCCCCAGTACAGCCAAAACAAAGTGTCAATAGTCACATAACTTCAAGAATTTACAAACTCCACAGAATTCCACAGACAACACTAGGATGGCTTTAGTATTGAATTCCACCATACTTTTAAGAAACAAAAATAAATAAAAATTCCTCACAGTCTTCCAGAGAGTTGAAGAGAACAGAATACTCTCTAACTCACTCTAGGCCAATCAATGTAATTCTTTATATTAATAGACATAGGAGAAATAACTATATGTTATATATATTAAAAGATATTTGATAGAGCCCTAATATCCAGAGTATACAAAGGACTCCAAAAATTAGACAATAAGAGAACAAACAACCCAATCAACAAATGGGCCAAGGACCTGAACAGACACTTCTCAGAGGAGGACATACAATCAATCAACAAGTACATGAAAAAATGCTCACCATCTCTAGCAGTCAGAGAAATGCAAATCAAAACCACCCTAAGATACCATCTCACTCCAGTTAGATTGGCAGCCATTATGAAGTCAAACAACAACAAGTGCTGGCGAGGATGTGGGGAAAAGGGTACACTTGTACATTGCTGGTGGGACTGCAAATTGGTGCAGCCAATTTGGAAAGCAGTATGGAGATTTCTTGGAAAGCTGGGAATGGAGCCACCATTTGACCCAGCTATTCCCCTTCTCGGTCTATTCCCTAAAGACCTAAAAAGAGCATGCTACAGGGACACTGCTACATCGATGTTCATAGCAGCACAATTCACAATAGCTAGACTGTGGAACCAACCTAGATGCCCTTCAATGGATGAATGGATAAAAAAAATGTGGCATTTATACACAACGGAGTATTACTCTGCATTAAAAAATGACAAAATCATAGAATTTACAGGGAAATGGATGGCATTAGAGCAGATTATGCTAAGTGAAGCTAGCCAATCCCTAAAAAACAAATGCCAAATGTCTTCTTTGATATAAGGAGAGTAACTAAGAACAGAGTAGGGTCGAAGAGCATGAGAAGAAGATTAACATTAAATAGGGATGAGAGGTGGGAGGGAAAGGGAGAGAGAAGGGAAAATGCATGGAAATGGAAGGAGACCCTCAGAGTTATACAAAAGTACATACAAGAGCAAGTGAGGGGAAGGGGAAAAATAATATAAGGGGGACAAACGAATGTCAGTAGAGGGAGCAGAGAGAGAAGAGGGGAAGGGAGGGGAGGGGAGGGGAGGGGAGGGGGGATAGTAGAGGATAGGAAAGGCAGCAGAATACAACAGACACTAGTATGGCAATATGTAAATCAATGGATGTGTAACTGATGTGATTCTGCAATCTGTATATGGGGTAAAAATGGGAGCTCATAACCCACTTGAATCAAATTGTGAAATATGATATATCAAGAACTATGTAATGTTTTGAACAGCCAACAATAAAAAATTAAAAAAAAAAAAGATATTTGAAGCCCTGGGTTCAATTTTCAACACCAAAAAAAAAGACAATAAAGGAATATTATGAACAACTTTATGCCCATAAATTATACTGAGGACTGAATCCAGAGGTACTCTACCTCTGTGATCCATCCCCAGCCCCTCTTGTTTTAAATTTCAAGACAGAGTGTCACTAAGTTGCTGAGACTGGTTTTGAACTTGCAGTCCCCTTGCTACAACCTCCTGAGTCCCTAGAGTTACAGACATGCTGAATATGTTATCTTCTTAATGCCCCAAAACACCAACAAAATCTAATTTTTTTTTTTTTTTGGACTAAAGATTGAACCCAGGGATACTTTACCACTGAGCTACATTCCCATTTCCTTTTTAGCTTTTATTTTGAGATAGGGTCTTGCTGATTTGCTGAAATTGGCCTCAAATTTGCAATCCTCCTGCCTCAGCTTCCCCAGCTGCTACAATTACAGGCATGTACCACTGCACCTAACCCAACATCCATCCTTAATAAACTTTCAGCAAATTAAGAATAAGCATTTATAGAAAGCCTACATGTAATATCATGGTTAATACTGAAAGATCGAAAACCAGTACAATCAGGAAGAAAACAAAGATATCTACTTCTGCCGCGCGACCAGCACGCTAGCTTCATACTAGAGGTTCCAAACATAGAAGTTAACTAGTGAGATCAAAATAAAGACACATAAAACTCAATTTACCTTTTTCTTGCCCAGCTAAGAGATGGCTTCTCCCGGCTCCTGCCTCCAGCCACCTGGTGGTAGCGAGGTTTACACAAGAGACCAGCAGGAGAGAGGAAGAAGCACGCCAGAGAGTGGGCTTTTATTGGGGAACAAAAAATTCAGGGGAAATCCAATGAAGGTCGAGGGGGACAGCATTCCAAGGTCAGGGTCAGTGATTGGTTTCCAGGTCAATGGTCAGTCACACCCCCACACGGACAAGCCCTCGCACTTGGAAAGGGTGGGGAAAGCTCTGACACAGCTGGTCTGAGAGCCTCACCCCCAGTCAGGGAGGTGGCCCAATCACGTGCAAGAACGGCTTCCCACACCTACTCTCATCTTTTCTGTTCAATGTTGTACTGAAAGGTCTAACCAATGAAATGAGGCAAGAAAGAAAGAAACCAAAATAAGAAATAAAATGAGTAGAAGGAAATGGATTTAGTAGCTAAATCACTAAATAGGTGAAGCAATGGATCCCAATATATTAGACTTCAAGCCACTTAATACAGTGAGCTCTGATTAATGAAAACAAACAGAGCCCTACAATTGGCCCAGCGTACTGCCTGAAAAGAGTTACTAAGACGGAGGCAGGGGGACCCCAGTATAACCCCAACATCTCCCTGCATTGAAAGAGAGAGAATGGCAGGGTGTGGTGGCATATGCTGATGTAGGAGTATCCCAAGTTTGAGGCCTGCCTGAGCAACTTAGTGAGAATCTGTCTTAAAATAAAAAAAATAAAATAAAAAGAGCTGGGAATGGAGCTCAATATTAAAGCATCCCTGGGTTCAATTCCAAGTACCAGAAAGAGAAAGAGAGAGAAACAAAAGTGGAACTAGGATACTGCAAAGACAAAGCAGCTGGTGTTCTCGGAGCAGAGTACCAAATAGAAGAGAGTTGTAGAGACAGGACTCGAGTCTGCAGTGTTCGAGTTCTCAGATGATCATATGTGCATCTAAAGACAAAGGAAAAAAACCATGAAAATAAAATAATTATAGTCTATCTTTTCAATGTCTTACTAAGGCATTATTTACCAAGAATTATTGACTTCTTTAAAAGAATGTACTTGTGTTTGACTTTCCTGTTTACCACCTGGAGAGCCAACTCTGATTTCTAGCCAATAGAAAAGATATTCTCCAGCATTCACAAGGTTCTGGATTTGATCCCCAACACCACAAAAAGAAGAAAAGATATACCTTAAAGTTACAGCTCTTTTACCCCAAAACTCATTTTACCAGTTTTATATCTAACCTAGAAATCTTTTTTTTTTTTTTTTTTTTGGTATTGGGGATTGAACCCAGGGGTGTTTAACCACTGAACCACATCCCCAGTTCATTTTGTTTGTTTGCTTGTTTTCTATTTTGAGACAAGTTCTCGCTAAATTGCTTAGAACCTCACTAAGTTTCTGAGGCTGGCTTTGAACTGGAGGTCCTCCTGCCTCCACCTCCTGAGTCGCTAGAATTACAGGCATGCACCACTGTGCCCGGCCTTAAGAAGTTGATACTTTTTGTCATGCGTTATTCTATTTTTTTGTATAAAATCCATATTTTTGGCTTTTTGAGTATTATACTTTGATTATTATGGATGTTCCATTAAGATGCCCAAATGGACATTTCTACCAGAGCCAATTAGAGATCATTACCAGGGCTCAGGTGTGGCTCAGTGGTAGAGCACTTGCTTAGCATGCATAAGGCCCTAGGTTCAATCCCTAGCACCACCAAAAAAGAAAAGAGGATGTTATAAAAAGCATTACCCTTAGTCAGGAAATGTAGCTTCCTGGTCAGTGGCAGAGTGCTTGCTTAGCATATGAAAAGCCTTCATTTAATCACCAACACACACACACACACACAAATATATATATATATATATATATATATATATTGCCCTTGAGTATACCTTATGAAATATTTCAGTTCAGAAAATTTTGTTTTAGTTTGACCCTGGTGTGAATTCCATGTGGAAATATAAATTTACTTAGTTTTCATCTCCTTTATTCATACCTTGAATTTTTGTTTCCAGTTCTTGGCCAAATTCGGTTCTAATTCTGTCTGTCACACAGTTGATAAGCTATTTCTATTTGGTGATAACAATAATCAGGGACCTGATTTTATGGTTTGAACATTTGGTTATTGATATGAGCATGATGGGGGTTTAATCTTCTGACAGCTAAAAGATGGCAGATTATTATTTGCTATATTTTTTATTTATTTGAAAGTTTACCTACATGTGAGTTCAGATCAATTAAGAAAACATTTTTTGCTCATGGGAAAGGAAAATATCCCTCTGGGATCAGAGGTAATAAGATTTTGTATTTTGTGTTTATTTTGACTCATAACTGAAGTAGAACTGACGTACAGCTCTCTGTGTGTCTTTGAGTCTGAGAAATCTCTTGCTTCTCAGATATCTGAATCTGTAATGTTTTCCTATCTGCACGTGTATTAACTAATTACACTTTTCATTGACACAGTATAAAACCACCGTACCTGATAATTCCTTTGTATCTTGTCACCTCTTTGATGCATTCTAGATCTTACATGTGGATGTGTGTCTATATATTTATACATATTTGTATTGGTATGTGTCTGTCCAGAATTTTTAGTTGTTTTTTAGTGGCAAGGGTTAAGGTTGCCAGATAAAATACAAGACACCAGTTAAATTTGAATTTCAGATAAACAATGAATCATTTTTAGCATATCTGAAATTTAAAATTAATTCTACAACCTATATTTTTTTCCAATTATTTTCATGGTAAAATACTTGTAACATCAAATTTACCAGCTTACCCTTTTTTTTATGCAGTATTTGGGATCGAATCCAGGGCCTCATGTCCTCTAGGCAAGCATATATTCCCCAGCCCTTTTTATTTTATTTTGAGACAGGATCTTATTAAGTTTCCCAGGCTGGCCTTGAATTTATGGTCCTCCTGCTTCAGCCTCCCATAACTAGGATTACAGGTATGTGCCTTCTTTTTTTAATTATTAATTTGTTTATTTATTTTACAGTAGAATGAATTTTGACATATTGTACACAAATGGAGCCCAACTTCTCATCCCTCTGGCTGTACACAGTGCAGAGTCACTCCAGAAGTGTAATAGTGTCTGTCTCATTTCTACCGTCCCTCCCATCACCACACCCCATCCCTCCTCTCACTCCCTTCTGCACAAACCAAAGTCCCTTCATTCTTCCCTATCACCCCACCCCAATATGAATCAGCATCTGCTTCTCAGAGAAAACATTCGGCTTTTGATTTTTTGGGAATAGCTTATTTCACTTAGCATGATATTATTTTTTATTTTTTTTAAAGAAAGAGAGAGAGAGATTTTAATTTTTTAATATTTATTTTTCAGTTTTTGGCGGACACAACATCTTTGTTTGTATGTGGTGTTGAGGATCGAACCCGGGCCGCACGCATGCCAGGCGAGAGCACTACCGCTTGAGCCACATCCCCAGCCCAGCATGATATTATTTAGTTCTATCCATTTACCTGCAAATGCCATAATTGGATTCTCTTTTAATGCTGAGTAATATTCTATATGTACCACATTTTCTTTATCCATTCATCTACTGAAGGGTATCTAGGTTAGCACCACAATTTAGCTTTTATGAATTGAGATGCTACAAACATTGATGTGATTGCATCACTGTAGTATGCTGATTTTAAGTCCTTTGGGTATAAACTGAGGAGTGGGATAGCTGGGTCAAGTGGTGAATCCATCCCCAGTTTTCTGAGGAATCTCCATTCTGCTTCCCATAGTGGTTGCACCATTTGCAGCCTCACCAGCAATGTATGAGTGTACCTTTCCCCCCATATCCTCACCAATATTTATTGTCACTCATATTCTTGACACTTCCATTCTGACTGGAGTGAGATGAAATTTTAGAATAGTTTTGATTTGCATTTTTCTAATTGCTATGGATGATGAACATTTTTTCATAAATTCATTGATCAATTGTATTTCTTCTTCTGTGAAGCGTCTGTTCAGTTCCTTAGCCCATTTATTGATTGGGTTATTTGTTTTTTTGGTGTTAAGTATTTTGAATTCTTTATATATCTTGGAGATTAGTGCTCTGTCTGAGGTGTGGTAAAGATTTTTTCCCATTTTGTAGGCTCTCTCTTCATGTTATTGATTGTTTCCTTTGCTGAGAAGAAGCTTTTTAGTTTGAATCCATCCCATTTATTGATTCTTGATTTTGCTTCTTGCACTTTAGGAGTCTTGTTCAGGAAGTCAGCTCCTAAGCCATGATGAAGATTTGGGCCTATTTATTCTATTAGGCACAGAGTCTCTGTTCAAGTGTCTAAGTCTTTGATCCACTTTGAGTTGATTTTTGTGCAGGGTGAGAAATAGAAGTTCAATTTCATTCTGTTACATATTGATTTCCAGTTTTCCCAGCACCATTTGTTAAAGAGGCTGTCTTTTTTCCAATGTATGCTTTTGGTTCCTTTGTATCTCTAGTATGAGATAACTGTACTTATGTGGGTTTGTCTCTGTATCTTCTATTCTGTACCATTGGTCTACATGTCTATTTTGGTACCAATTTCATGCCATTTTTGTTACTATTGCTCTGTAGTTTATAGTTTAAGTTCTGGTGTTGTGATGTCTCCTGCTTTACTCTTCTTGCTGAGGATTGCTTTGGCTATTCTGGGTCTCTTATTTTTCCAAATGAATTTCACGATTGCTTTTCATATTTCTATGAAGAATGTCATTGGGATTTTAAAAGGAATTGCATTAAATCTGTACAGCAGTTTTGATAATATGGACAGTTTTACTTTATTAATTCTTCCTATCCAAGAGCATGGAAGATCTTTCCATTTTCTGGGGTCTTCTTCAATTTCTTTCTTTAGTGTTCTGTAGTTTTCATTGTAGAGGTCTTTTACCTATTTTGTTACATTGATTCCGAGGTGGGTTGGTTTTTTTGTTTTGTTTTGTTTTTTTCATTTCTTTTTTTGAGGCAATTGTGAATGGGTAGTTTTCCTAATTTCTCTTGCAGCGGATTCATCACTTATGTATAGAACTGCATTTGATATATGGGTATTAATTTTATATCCTGCTACTTTGCTGAATTCATTTATTAGTTCTAGAAGTTTTTTGGTGGAATTTTTTGGATCTTCTAAATATAGAATCTTGTCTTCAGCAAATAGTGATAGTTTGAGTTCTTCTTTTCCTATACATATCCCTTTAATTTCTTTCATCTCTCTGATTGCTCTAGCTAGAGTTTCAAGGACTTATCAAATAGAGATGGTGAAAGAGGACACCCCTGTAAGTATATACCACATTTGGTTTATCCTGTTTTTAGAGGGAATGCTTTCAATTTTCTCCATTTAGAATGATGTTGCCCTTAGGGGTTGGGGGTATAGCTCAGTTGGTAGAGTGCTTGCCTCTTGCATGCATGCACAAGGCCATGGATTCAATCCCCAGCACCACACACACACACACACACACACACACACACACACAATGATGTTGCCCTGATGCCCAGCCTTCTTAGTCTTTTTTTTTTTTTTTTTTTGGTACTGGGGATTGAACTCAGGGGCATTTTACTACTGAGCTATATCTCCAGACCTTTTTATTTTTTGTTTTGAGAACACAGTCTCTTTAAAAGGGTTTGGGCTTCCCTAAATTGCTGAGGCTGGCCTTGAACTTGCAATCCTCCTGTCTCAAGCCTCCAGAGTCACTGGAATTACAAGCATGCACTACCACACCCAGCTTCTTAACCATTTTAAGTGTACTAAATGTTCAAAATGGTGTACATCCATCACCACATCTATCTCCATAATTATTTTTATCTTGTAAAACTGAACTTTGCACCCATTGAATAACTCCCCATTCTCCTCTTCACCGAACCCCATCTACTTTCTGTCTCTATGTGTAAGTACATATGTAATGTATGGTGCAGCATTGTCCTTTTGTGACTGACTTATTTTATGTAGCACAATGTCCTCAAGTTTCATCCATGTTGTACTTTAGCTCAGAATTTCCTTTCTCTTTAAGACTACATAATATTCCATTATAAGTATATACCACATTTGGTTTATCCATTTATACAACAATGGACATCTGCGTTGCTTCCATCTTTTTTCACTATTGTGAAAAATGCTGTCGTGAACATGGGGGTCCAAATATCTCTTTGAAACCCTGCTTTCAATTTTTTTTTTAATAGCTTGATCATATGGTAATTTTGTTATTCATTTTTTGAGAAACCGACATACTGTTTTCTACTGTGGCTGTACCCTCCACATTCTGTTCAGTAGTGCACAAGGGTTACAATTTCTCCACAACACCTATTTCTTTTTTTTTCCTATCATTTGTTTGGTTATAGATGGACACAATACCTTTATTTTATTTTTATGTGGTGACGGGGATTGAACCCAGTGTCTCATGCATGCTAGACAAGCGCTCTACCACTGAGCCACAATCCTGGCCCCACAACACCTATTTCTCCTTATTGACACTTATTTTGTGTGTGTGTGTGTGTGTGTGTGTACACACACATATATATACATATATATAAATATTAGTCATCCTAATGGGTACAAGGTGATACTCATTATAGTTTGATTTACATTTCACTAATGATTAATAATGCTAAACATTTTGAGTATGCTTATTGGCCATTTGTATATCTTCTGTGGAGTAATGTCTACTGAAGCCCTTTGCCCATTTTTGAGTTGTTTTTTGTTGTTGTGTGGGTTTTAGGAGTTCTTTATATATTGTAGTTTTA